TTACACTTAGAAGGTTTTTTAAACGTAGCTCATAAAAGAATTATTAGATATGCTAAGTAGTAGTATGGAAAAGTCTGCAGTTTTCTCACACTTAACATAGAAGGTGAAAAGTGGATGTCATCCGCAGTTCACACTTGATAAGAGAAGTAAGACGTGTTCTGGGTGCTCATTAAAAATCAGTGCTGGGTGACTCGTATGCCCAGCTTACCCGAGCGTACGGCGCGTCGCGTTCCGCGCGCGCCTCAAAGAGCCCATCAGACCACCACAGATGGGGCCCAATACGGCCGATGCCGATTCGGAGTCGCGGAGAACCTAACGGGTAACCGGGGCTCCGACTCGACGTGCAGGAGAAGGAACGGGGTGATTTTTAGTCAGTAAGAGTCTGACACTCCCTCCCGCCTCACCCAGGCGGGAGCAGCCATTTGATGATTTTCCCCCCTTAAAAAAAAATGCCCAGCTTACACTGTGTGGGTAACCTATTTAGCATAGGCATGTTCTTAGCGTCTCTTTACTGATTATTCTGTTTTCATTTTTAACTTAATGTACATACTTTATCTTGCTTCCACTGTTACACTTTTATTGCCTTTATATATTTTATTTATGCTGCATCGTGTCTGGTGCTGAATAAATGTTTTGTCTTCCTTTTCTAATCACAGATATCAATTAACTGAAAAAAATAGTCCATTCCATAGAAAAATATCTAGTAAATAAGTGCAATTCTTATGTCGAAATAACTCTAGAAGGGTGGTGAAGTTGGAATTCCACAAAGGTATATTACAGTAGTTAGGTAAGTACAGACTTGATAGCAAAGCACTTAACTACAAAATAAGTGTATGACATAATTTGATATTATTTCCAACAACATTAGGTAACAGAGCTTCGATTGTTAGTTGTTGTACAATAATAATAGAAAGGGCTCATACTAAAGCACTAGGTCACTTTACAAAAGACTAACTTTTTACTAACAAGGCTGCTTTTTTCTTAAGGCACAGGCTTAAGTGTAAGCACTAGCATTTACCTATGTATAAACGTATGTTTTCAACTACCTTGTGCATACACAAGGTAGTTGAAAACTAGTCAAATTCAATATTTAGAGGTAAATCGAAACGTCAAAAACGATACTGTTCTATAAATTTTGTACGAAATACCATCTTATGCCGTTATCATATTTTCGCGTCACATAGCACATTTATATCTAAAAATGCTTGAATAAATCGAAAATTAAGTATATCGGCAAATCAATCAATGAAAGTGTACTATTTTTCAATATATAATTGGACTGAAAATCAAAATAATTTATTTTTGACGCAGGAAACTGCCCAACCACGAGCAGAGCCGTCTTAGACTACACTGGGCCCCTTGGGCTCACTATAATTCAGGACCCTTTTATAATGTTCCTTTTTTTAACAATCCCCGACACTAAGATTTCTCCCGTATCGTGAGTGCATTTACGAACATACAAGTTCACATACACATGACACCCAAACTCGAAACAACAATTTGTGAATCACACACAAATTTTTGCTCAGTGCGGAAATCGAACTTATGTGTCCGTCGTAGAAGTAGTCGGTCTATCGGGGCCCCCTGAGGATGCCCCCCTGGGCACGGGCACCGAGTGCCCTTATGGTAAAGACAGTTCTGTACACGAGTACTATTGCCACATGACGTCCCTATGTTCCACAGCCGCATACACCAATAAACCCTTTATAATTTTCGTTAATTAAAGCCCCATAAATGCAACAATTATTGTATAAACAGGCAATTAACCGTTAAATTCGAAACCCACACCTGTCTGCGTCAACGCCGACCTAAACTGCATAGCCATACATCTAAAGCACTACATACATGCATACCTATGTATGTATGTACTATGTACTAGACGCAATCTAGAGCGAATTACAACATGAAATACTACGCCGGAATACTATGTTTTAGTACTTTAATTCTATTTACGAATATAGGTCTCATTTTCGATAGCATTTGCTTTATTACCTACTTCAGTTTGTGGTAATGTATTTAGTTAAGTCAGTTTTTAAGAAAACAGATGAGTTAATAATGAGTTCGATTTTAAATGATGATCATATAATTCTCTTGTAGGAACAGGTAGACGTAATCATTGTACTATGAATTTCGCCAGTAACGTCATAAGACCTTGAAGTGCGCCATCTTTATGGTAATGTACGCAAACTTTTGGGCTGTATCACAGGACAAATACCAAAGCGGGGGAAAGTCACAGACGAAGCCTATCATTTAAATGGCTATTACTATACCTACATACTATGTAGTATGGTGACTTTAGTTTAGTTTACGTTTCTACCCATAAGAAACTGGCAAGGTGTGCATATTTTATTCACATTTATCTTATCTTAGATCAATTTCCGTTCACTAACTAAATAAATAATTCCTTTTTGAAGTAAACCTAGGAAACTTATTCTGTTGCTAGCATTCGTCGCTATAATATAGTTTGTTAAGAATTTTAATATTCTCAAAGACAGCTTCCTTTTAAAAAATTCAGCAGAACAGAATTGACATAAAACAGAGTTAGTATAGTTATGCGACAATGATACATTTTGCATAAGAAGTCGTCCTAGACTGCGGTGCACCGATGCAGAGCACTAAGATGCCGATTTTGACGACCAAATTAATAATAAAATTATTTCATTGACATTAAAGAATGGTCCTTAAATGATGAGCCTGTTTATAAAATATTTTAAGAGAGTTTATTTCCTACATTCTTTAGACGCATATATAAATGTATATATTTGTATAAGGATTAAAGTGTATTTTTATACATATAAATGTTGTGTTTAGTTTTCAGTGCACCAATATTAGCAATCGTTGTGACAAACACTTATTGAAAATGTACTATTTAGCTAAAGTTTTGTGTCACTACTAATCCTTACTATCCTTACTATATACCTATATAATATTATAAATGGTAAAGTGAGTTTGTTTGTTTTTTCCGCTATCACACCGTAACTACTAAATCGATTGCTTTGAATTTTTGCAGACGTAAAGTTAGAAGTCTGGATTAAATAATAGGGTACTTTTTATCCCGAAAAAAATTTGATATTCCCGAGGGAAATCAAAAGTATTGGTATAGATGGCGCTGTGTGTATTGGTATATTATTACGTCACAGGCTACTTTTTATCCTTTTGTGACGCGAGCGAAGCCGCGGGTAATAGCTAGTAGACTATAAAGTGAAATTTTAATTCACCACGAGTTCTCAACTTTAAGTGACTCAGTCTTGAATGGTGCATCCATTATGTCACATTACATGTTTTATGAAGTCTTCTTTTATACTTTTAAACTAGGGGCCGTTCTTGGATGATACATTTGTAGTATATCGTTTATGACCGTACCTAACTGAGGTTTTTTAAAGGATTTATTTGTAAAATGTTTCTAGATTAGAACCTACTGCAGTTTAGCAGATGTTAATTTTGTTATATTTCTCTTGTTTATAATTAAATTAATAAATATTAAAAGAAGTATCTGTCGATTTTTTTTAATGCTCGGTTTAACTAGAGCAGTTGATCAATAGCTTAAAGTGCATTATGCGTAATATACCGCAAGTAACATCATAAATCGTATCGGGGTGGTTTTTAGTCAGTAAGAGTCTGACACTCCCTTCCGCCTCACCCAGGCGGGAGCAGTCATTCAATGATTTTCCCCCATTAAAAAAAAAGTAACATCATAAATACTAAAATCTAGGGCTAAAGAAGTATTTCAAAATCTAAATGCGCTAGTCGATTTACAACTAGATAATTACTTTGGCTCGCGTTATCAATAACTTAAGGCTAGAATATGGCAGTTCCCATATGTGGCTGGATATTATATAAGGTAGCTTAAATATGTAGCAATTAGCTGAAATGCACTTTCTAAGTACGTGTATAAAATCAGTGCGTTTGCCGTGGGATTGTGTGTATTTCGAAATGAAATATTTAGACTGACCGGTGACAGAATAGTTGTATATCGGTCAAGATGGAGAACAACTAGTGGACGGCTTTTTGCAATATCCTCTGTAACGTGTGAAAATGCCTTTTACATTGAAAAATGGAATGCAAGTATTTTAAGTATAGCTGTGAAGAATTAACTATAGATTAGTTTGTAAAAGGCTTCTAGTACTTAGCATAGATATACATACCTTTGTTTAAACTGTCAAACACCAAGCGGTCACCGGTGACCGCAACCTATTGTTCTATAATTGTGTCTACGAAACCGGTACTCGACGAGTTAATAATAATTATGTTCCCCTAAAAATGGAAGAAAGTAGGAATATTTTCATACTAGTTGCATGGAGTGATGAGTGATACCTATGCGGACTTACGTCTAAAAATACTTATACAATCATATAAATGTCAAGGTATTTATTCCGTTTATCACAAAATTTTAAATTAATTTAATATGTATTTTATTTAGGTAAGTTCCTAGGTTGATACTAGTCTTATTAGAATGAGATTTCATTGTCTCCTTTGTGTTTATCTCCATAACCTACTTACAGTATTTTTAATAAGTTAAAAAGTGACTTAATTCATATAGAAAATGCTGGAAATTGGTCTTTACTTTACAAAACGTAAACAAATACATATATCATGTTTATTAAGATGATTTGAATTGTTGGTTTCTCTGTATTGGAATTTACTCTTGTATTGTTAATAAATTATTTATGTGCATCATTTAGATAAGTTCGTTGCAGCTCTGTTTATTCGGCACACTGAAGCATGATGCATCACTCATAATGATAAATTTCGAATTTATGACAGCAATGAAACTGTTACTCCAATTCCAACAATATATCAACAATTACATTCTATGCTTTGAAGACTTCGGGATCAAAAATCCTTGGCTTACCTATCCTACCAAGGAGTTATTAAATCTTCCAAACCTAGCACATGGTCTATTTGTAGTTGTTCACGTTAAAACAATCGAATGGCTTACAGTGTACCTATAAGTGTGTCCCCTGTAGGTGCATCTAAGTCAGGTGCATAGAGTGGGGTCCTATATTTATAAAGCGAATGCAACAGCGCAGGTTGCCGGGAGTGTGTTTGTGTCGTTGTGCACCTCAGATACGAATATGCGGGTGAGTTGCGTAATTTGAAATAAAAGTTTTTAAAGATTATTTGTACAGTAAACACTTTTATTCTATTAGAGTAGGAATTTGATTGTATCTCAAGTGTTGAAATTTGAAATAAACCATTTAATTGATTGAGGAAAATATGAATTGAATGTATAACTTAATCCAACAATTATTACAGTGAAACTAAAGCTTAAATAGAGAAAAAATGTGATGTATATTCCAAAGATATAGAAAATTTTGTCCTTGTTTAATACATTTTATGATCAGACCTATAAATGTAATAATAAATGATGCAATATCTAACCATCTCTCCTTTGATAGTAACACGGAAATACACAGGAGATATAAATCCTGTCCGTAGGCAACAAACACGAAACAGGTTCCTATCTCGACATTAAACCTCTTTTGAAATCAATTCAAATATTGCCAGTTTTTACTTTATCCAGATAACTGTAAGGTGTCTTTTCTAAAGGTGGTTTATTTCCCGTATCTCGTAAGTCTATTACAGTGAAGTTAATAACTTAATTCCATGAAAGCTAGTTAGCTTTTTTAATAATTCTGTTTAAAACCTTTACATTTAAACTGTCAAACATCGCGAGGTCACCGGTGACCGCAACCTATTGTTCTTTAATTGTGTCTATAATGACGGTACTCGACGAGGTAATACCATGGTACAGAGCTGTTTTAGTTTCAGGTTCTATTTCAATTAGTTCGATATTCTGAGTAATAGTAAAGTCATTTAAAAACGTTATTAACATTAACATTCGTTGCTAAATGAATGAAAAATACATTGCAGCTTTCTAAGATCTGTGTTCCAGTAGACCAGGGTTTAGAAATGTAACAAATATTTTTTAAGGGTTCCTATAACTAATCGATATTTTTCGGCGGGTGTTTAGACGTTCTTGGTGCTAGCGTGCGTGAGTGCTGCAGTGGCGGTAGCGGTGCCGGTAGAATATGGCGGGTACTTCGCGCATGCGCCTGTTGTACACGCGGCCCCCGTGGTACACGCAGCCCCCGTGATACATGCGGCCCCTGTTGTACATGCTGCCCCGGTTGTTCATGCTGTGCAAGCTGAGCCTGTTGTAAGATTTTTGCGATGACATAGAAATATATCAACTTAAGTTTTTGATTTAATTTTAAAATTGGAGTCGTTTCATGGTGTTGCCCAAAATATTCATAGTAAGTAGTGTATCTCCCTAGAAGAAAGAGACTTAGCTCAGCACTTATAGGCTAATAGCAAAACTTAATTTGAAAGATGTGTTGTTATGCCTGGGTAGGTATCTATATAATAACTAAATAGAGGTAGTCTATGATTACATTTTATCATAGCCTAGTCATCAAATTCAAGATCTAGTTCAACAGTATGTAAATATGTAGATGCCTATTTGTCGACTTCATCCAATTTCATATTTACTATCCATTTCATTTGGTAGGTACTTTCCATTCAGTTGGTCACAATATTAGTGTCTCTATATATGTTCTGTGGTCTCTATGGGCCCTAAGTATAGACATTATTTGTGCTATTTGCACAGTAAACCAGTTGTTAATAGTACTAGAGATTATTTAACTATTTCTACTTACACTTGAGCTTGTGCATAGCAGATTGCGGAAATTATAGTAAGTAAAATCAAAACAAGTAGTTTATGTTCCCTTTTTCGGTTGGTTTGGCATTTATTTAAATGTTTTTTGATCATTATCCTGTTTATTGTCATTATTGGGTTACCCAAAGTTAAATTATTGTTCAGTGTAGACGATTTGGTTTGGTCTATGTTATTCAGTTATTACTAAAACTTTACAGTGATTGTTTAACATTACGCTTGGTCCATTGTAGATCTTCAAATACCACTGTGGTCTTAGGCAGTCACCAAAAGAAATATAATTGTTTGATACAAGATTGTCTGTGTCCCAGGCTTATCCAAAGTATGCGTTTAACTACGGAGTAAAGGACCCACACACTGGTGACATCAAATCGCAGCAAGAGGAACGTGATGGAGATGTCGTTAAAGGTTAGTTTGAAAGCACCTTAAACTAATTGTGATGTAAGATCCATTAGCATAGCGTGCCTTGGCGAGGCCCCATATAAAATTTATTTGGAGGCTCTTATGAAGGATAAAAAATTCTCACAAGTATTTTTTTCCATAATATTTGTATGAAAATCGGATATCTTTGCAGGTCCTGCCAACTCCCTTTGCCCAAATTATCGGCCTTTGATTCTTTTTGTTAGTTTTTCAAAAAATTTTGCTCACCTCTGAACGCATGCTTTTCGCGGAAAAAAAATGGTTAATTTGACTTTGGTGATTGCTGAAGAGATCCCCGTATAATTGATACGGCAGATACAGTGCCAGCTACGCTTCTGGTAATATCTTTTGCAAAAAGATACCTAGTACTTTACTACTACCTTTTTTATTTTTAATACTCGTCGATTGTGTATAATATTAAATACAATTTTTTATATCTCCTGTTTTATTAATCTTCTGTTTATTTTATCAGGAAGCTATTCTTTAGTGGAGCCTGATGGTTCTACCAGGACGGTAGCGTACTCCGCAGACGACCACACTGGCTTCAACGCTGTTGTGCACAAATCTGGTCATGCAGTTCATCCGGTAAGAATCGATATTACTTTCATAAATTAATTGGTATGTCACTTGCTAATCCGTAAATCGAAGAAAAACACGAACGAATAAAAAATATTTAACATTTACTTTTGTAGATTCCCTTTTAAAAATAATATCAGTTAAGATTTAAAATTTACTAATAACGCCATCTTTCATATTTTCCTAAAACTTTTAACACAAAAGAGTGGGTTCATAAATCTTCAGCTTGCCATGTACATTCATCGTGTTACCAGATGTATACATTTAAGGAAATTGTTTATTTGATTTTGTATTAGTCTGTTGAATATCCCGTAAGGATTCTAGGTTTAATTTTGACTCAGTTTGAGTTTTAGTGCCATACAACTTGATATTTATCAAATTATTCGCATAGTTATTATTAGAATGACGATATTTGCGTCTGATAACGTGTCACGGGCCACCATTACACAAACCAGATTTCTCTGCGATTGCGAGCGAGCGTCGACTCTTGCGCAAACATTAATGGCGCGTGCGCTTATAAGGAAACGCTACAACTTGGTCAAAGTACTCCGAATTTCCCAGATAACGGCCTTTGGGCGTTCCGAGAAAAATGCAAGATAAATATTTAAGTGTTTTGCTCATTGATAAAACTGTAACTCGTAGATTTTAAATTCCTTGATACTTTTATGGTCATTTTAGACTTAAATAGCTTTTTATCTACTTACTTAGTTGTCGTTACGTCTTATATGCTTTACTTGGGTAAAAGTCTAGTTGACAATTTTTTTGTACTGTTTTTACCAATGACATATCGCAACCTCCATACATATTCGTATTCGGTTATGCCCTTAACTGTAAAGTAAGAGATTTGTACAAATTGAGTTAGAATAGAGAAGCCACTTTTTATTCGGGTCTAGTGTCTTCTACGTGATAATTTTTATAAGAGAAAATGTGTGGGCGGAAAAATACCTAAGTATTTGGTTGGAAACATTTTTTACTTTAACAATATAGTCTGAGAGATCACCATATTATCAATTTAAATATAAAATACTAGCAGCCCGTTCTGGCTTCGCACGGGATAGACAATTATTTATTTTTGGAAATTTGGATTGTTGTAGTGAATAGTTGGACATATACTACCGCGGAGTTTTTTGTAGACATTATGATGTTCATCAATATTGTTGTACATTATTTTGTTCTATCGCTAATAGTTTCGGCAGCGCATTTATTATAGATAGATATTTTAAGACTAATTTTTTTACACCTTTGGTTACATTGTTCAAATTTTACCAAGGATCCCTAATTTTTTTCAAAATGATTTGTAGCGTATGTCGAATTGGAAGAATGTAGCATTCTATTGGTGAAAGATTTTTTAAATCGGCCCAGTACTTTTTGAACCTATTCAAAAATAGGTACAAATCTTTCCTCTTTATAATATTAGTATAGAAGTATAGATAAACGTCGTCGGTAATTTGGAAAATAATAATACAATAAAGGTATTCTAATGATTTTTTACTTTAATGCGAACCGAGTCTTTAATGCAAGGTTATTACAATCATAATTTGGTATAGGTATCAGGTGAAAATAATGTCCAAAGCGTTCAAATAAGTGTGAAGAATCGATTATTTATTTCCAAGTGAGATGCAATGGTCGAGTAGAGCCGTAACCTTGAACCGGCATGACATGACTCACGCACAATGAAATTGTTTGGTCCACTAAAGCTTCGGTATTCACCGTTTCTAGATAGGGTCCAAATAATTTTTTTACAAATGTTTGTGAAATCTTATGAAACTTGACCTTCATCATTAACTCTAGAACTTTCTTCATATTTTTAATAACAAAGTCAAAATCAAAATCATTTATTTCAATTAGACCAGAAAGGTGAAGCAATAAGGCTCACTTTCTGTGTCGATGAGATTAACTCGGAAAAGAAAGGAAACCTCTAAAATCACTCAGAACTCGAAAGGAATAAGATTTAATGTAATTCAAAATTGCACTCTATGATACAAATGTTAATTTTAATGATTTGCGACCGACTAATGTTTGAATTTAGATCACAATTTCCTGACAGACTGACTACAATGTTGCATTTTCTACAATTTCCGATGCGATTGACTTGAACATTTGCTACTATTTATTTGGCTTGACATACATATGATTGTTCTAGGTGATAAAGTTTTGATTTGCTGATAGTATAACATAACATAACATCACGCCCTTTTATGCCCGAAGGGGTGCCACTGTACAATGTTACATCCACTTTTCACTATTTATGTTATGAGTGTAATAGGGAGTGAGCCTATTGCCATATACCGGGCACAATTCCAGACTCCGTGCTACTACTAAGATTTTTTTTAAAACTCAGTATTACTTTGCCCGATCCGGGAATCGAACCCGAGATCCCTTGTATGTCAGTCGCACTCGCGATCACTCGGCCAACGAGGCAGTATAAAAACTCATTCTCTTAAAATAATTATTTATCTTCTAATTGTGATCATGCATCACTTATGGAAATAAGTAAATAATCCTGTTACTTATTGTAAATAAGATAAATAAAAAAAAACGTATGATGTCTCCCATGAGTATGAGAACTAAAACATGTAGGACGTTCGCATATTATTTATGTTTTCTTTATTTTCCAGCAACAAGTAGCGGTTGCGCATGCGGCTCCAGTACACTACGCGGCTGCTCCCATCGCAGTGGCATCTTACGGTCATGGCTACGGTCTACACTAACTACTTAAATCTACTAAACTACTTAAGTCCTGACCAAATATCTTGACCACTCTGAAGTAAGAGCGAGATGCACGTATACTCCAGTTTTAGGAGTGATAAAGACAACGATTTTCTATTAGTACTTCAGCCAGGTCAAGTTATTTTGTTCGTATTATACTTATTGTTTACGCCACAAATACTCTACTAGATGTTACGTTTATACCTTATTTTAATGTTAAGGGTGGGTGTTATGTTATGCGCGCGCAGGGTTACGTTGAAATGTCATAATAGTTTTGAATTTCGAACTAAAATAATGTTGCCATGAGTTGGTTTTAAAATGTTGCCAGAATAATAAAATTATGTACTTATTTTATTTTGGTAGTAAAATGTGTGGTGTGCCGATGATATTAAAAATTATATATATTTGTATGAAAGGTTTTGAATAATAAGTTTTGTGGATATTTATTCACATAAGTGAATAACTTGCCATTGTATATGAAGCATCTGAAGTACAACTTATTGATATTTATATTATGTATATTTTAAATCGCTTTAAATGCTTTATAGTGTTTAGAGATCACTTATAATTTATTTATATGATAAATAAATAAATGAGTCTTACGTACCATTCATATTATTTGTAAGAAGTACCTAGACATCTAGATCGTGTTTCAGAAACTATTCACTTTCATTTGCCATGATCTCAATATTTTGACATTGTAGGTATTTTGTTTTCTTATTAAAAATCCTGTCCATTGTATTCTCAAACTTATGTGTACTTTTATAATTAATAAATAGAGTTCATTTTATAAACGTAGGCCTTTGATTTTATTAAGTGTCACACGTAAAGTGGAGTCTTCAAAAATCTATCAAAACTTTTTTCACACAAAAATTGACCCTAAGTCCTCACTTACGACTTACGACCACAGAACGAACAAATAACAGAGCATGACATGCCTTTTATCCTCGAAGGGATAGGCAGAGGTCCACATTAGGGTACCTAATGACATTTTTCACCATTTATGTTATGTGTCCCATGTATGTATGTATGTATGTATGTATGTATGTATGTATGTGTACATGTATATGTATGACTATATATAAAAGTATCTAAGTACTTAAGTATTTATATATAGTTATTTATTTACTACATTTGCTTAGTCACCTGCCACTTTCATCTCTGCACCACCTTAAGGTCGACTGTGAGACAATGCCCAAGGCATTAAGTCCGCCTGTACATTTATTTTTTTACTAAGTCTTAAATAAATAATAGGGGGTGAGCCTATTGCCATATACCGGACATATTTATATTTCCAAGCTCCGTGCTACTGCTGAGAATTTTTGAAAAACTCAGTAATACTTTACCTGACCCGGGAATCGAACCCGAGACCCATTATCAGGCAGTCGCACTTACGACTAGTCGGCCAACGAGGCAGTCTCATTCACTAATTAGTATAACTTACCTTAAAATAATGACAGTTATAAATCACCCGTCATAATAACGAGAGGAGACCTGTACCAGTACTAATTAATCAAGTTTACTTATCGTATATAATTACAGCAAGCCACCTCCATAGATCTGTCAATTGATTTTCGATTTTATTTCAAAAACAATAAAGTTACAAATCTAAATTCAAGTTTCACAGAAAGGAGGAGGTAGACCTGCTGACCATTTTACATGTACGTCATACAATTAGTGGACTGAGTCATCATTGAAGTGGTACATATTTCATGCTGGATTTATAGCATACAGAGTGAACAAATTGGCCATTAGAAGCACGAGTTGGCGATTAAGCCTATAAGTAGTGAGAAATGTGATGATTTAGAAGTTATTGAGGGGGGGGGGGCTTTGTTCAGTAGCGGAATCTTAAGGCTGATAAGGCAATCATGATGATGAATTATTGAAAGAGACATGAATTTCAACTTTAATTCAATTGAATTAAAGCTCGTATAAATAGTATAGAAATATTTTGTACTCTATACAGCCTGATTATAGAAATATTCAATTAATAAAGACTTTATCGATTTCATGAGGCCAATAACGGATTTTGGCCACGCTGATTACCACTTTATCAAATAACATAACATAACATCACGCCTTTTGTCCCCGAAGGGGTAGGCAGAGGTGCACATTATGCCGCTGTACAATGTAACACCCACATACATACCCCCTATTGGGGGTGAGCCTATTGCCATATGACTTACTTGACTTAATATCCTGTGTCCCCTAGATGGGGCAGAGGGCGTCCACTGAAGTTCTCCATCGCGATCTGTCATACCGACGCTCGTCGCTTCTGCCAGTACGGTGCGACGCCAGGTTTGCCGAGGACGGCCACGCTTTCTTTTCCCTTGGGGATTCCAATCCAAGGCTTGCTTGGGTATGTGGTCAGGATCCCTTCGGAGCGTGTGCCCTATCCATCCCCACTTGCGGCGCTTGATCTGGCAGTCGATTGGGCTTTCGTGGCATTTCTCCAAAAGCTCTACGTTGGAGATGGTCTCGGGCCAGTAAATTCCGAGAATGCGACGCAGGCATCGGTTAACGAAGACTTGAAGTTGGCGCGAGATGTCTTTAGTCACCTTCCACGTTTCGCACCCATAGAGCAGAACGGATTTTACATTGGACCCGAAGACTTTCAGTTTTATCCTTCGGGTCAGTTTCCGTGACTGCCACACAGGTCTCAGCTGCGCGAAAGTAGCATTGCCATATACCGGGCACAATTCCAGACTCTGTGCTAATACTGAGATTTTTATTTTTAAAAACCAGTAATACACTGCCGATCTGGGAATCGAACCCGAGACCGCTTGCCTTTCAGTCGCAATCACTCGGCCAACGAGGCAGTCAGACTAATTAGATAAATGGAAACAAGTGCGAGTCGGACTCGCGCACCGAGGGTTCCGTATTAAAAAATATATATTTTGTAATGTAACTAAAAATTTAAGTATTTCGGAATTTTTCATTTATGTGTGCTATAAAACGTTGCTTCATGCCAAATTTCAAGATTCTAAGTCGACTGGAAGTACCCTTTAGGTTTTGATTCCCTTGCGAGTAGTTGCGAGTTTCAAAATATGCAGCTTAAATTGCTGTTTCTTTTGATTGCGTTGATATAGAAGTTTGATTTTGTTACAGCTTAAAGGTATTATAGACCTGAGTATTCGGTATGAATTTCAATTTAATACCTTTACGCGTTTATGAGGAAATGGGTGGTAAGTATAAAATTATTAAAAAAAAATATATTATGTGATGTTACTAAAAATGTATGGTTTTCGTAATTTTTCCTTTATCTATGCTATAAGACGTTGCTTTGTACCAAATTTCAAGATTCTGAGTTCACGGGAAGCACCCTGTAGGTTTTGATTCCCTTGCAAGTGTCGAAAATTTGCGGCATAAACGGCTGTATCTTTTGATTGCGTTGGCTTAGAAGTTTGTTTTTTTCACAGCTTCAAGGGACAGTAGACCTGAGTAATTGATATAAATTTCAGCTTCATACCTCCACGCGTTCCTGAGAAAAAGAGTCTTGACAGACGGACGGACGGACGGACGGACGGACGGACAGACGGACAACAAAGTGATCCTATAAGGTTTCCGTTTTTTCCTTTTGAGGTACGGAACCCTAAAAATGACGAACTTGCTGACCATTTATTTAAAAAACTAAACATAAGTTTATTGACCTCTAATAACTTTATATAGAGGTAGACACTTAATTAAGTAAGCTATGACTTAATTTATTTCATCGTTTACCACAAAACTAGTTTTTGGTAGAAATGTGATTATATTGACAGTTATGTTTTTATTTTATTTATGTCGTTCCTTATTGAGAGTTTGTAATTAATCACTCGGTCATCAAATGTTCAACATTTGGTATTTTATGTTTTAATTCAGTGAGAAGTGTTAGATGCATTTTGTGTCTAAGTAGATTTTATTATAGGTACATCTACCAAAAAGATTTACCTACTGTTAAGTATTTTTGGTTTCCTTTTAAAAGTGAACCAATTTACGGATCTTTGAATGATACAGAATAAATGTTGTATTAAGAAAATGAGTCTGACTATATTTTTGTAACTGATAGCATTTTAATACTTGACAAATCGAATAATATGTACTAACTTTACCTCATCTAAATATTATTTAATGAGATAACTGAAACTTTTTGCATGCCAAACGACAATTTCAAGACACAAAGTTACAAGACCTGTATTTTTTCTATACTACATTACATCCTAGTTCTCTCTCAGTTTAAAATTAAACCAAAATGCCAGACAAGGCCGAGTCGGTCTTATATGCATACAATAGCATAAAAATAGCAAAATATTAACATTTATGGTATGTAGCAATTAGTAATAAGGGGATTTAATATCTATTTTACTCGGTTTTCCTCTTAGTAGATTACAGCGGGAGAAAACACCCAAACAAAAAAGCATTATCAAATGTTCATCGTGAAATGTTCAATTATTTAGCTACTATACATCATGAGATACAGTCTGCAGTTAAAAAGATGGACAGCGAAGTCTCAGTAATGTGGTCCAGACCCCAAACTTTTGTCATCGCTCAGCTCTGAATGTTTACATTTTGACCGTTTACGAGAAACTCCTTTAAAAGTCACATTTAAAAGCCACCCAAGTGTGAATGCAAAATGCGACATTTAATATGCCTCCTAACAATGTCGATTTTATAAAAATATGATATTTTGTTTCATAGAATGTAGAACAATTTAGTCACCAAAGGATTGTGTTGAGCCGCGTGGGTGACTACCGTTGAAGGACCTGGCCATAAAGATTTTACGGTAAGATACCTTTTATGCAAAACCGCCATTTTTATTGACTCCCTAAGGGCTCGTACACAAAATTGCTATGCGATGTCGCATCGCAAAAATGTGCGAGCTCTCTCTACGCATCGCAAGAACTGGCGGATTGATTCGCACCGCGCATCAAAATCTTATATTCCCAAAATCTTCTTTGTTCCTTTTTCTTCTTTCTTCTGTATCTCCTAAGCAATAATAGAAGTGCAACTTCTTTCTACGATCCATGTCACGACCTAGTCTTCAATTTAAAATACGTTTAGTACCTACGTTTGACGGTCGTCAAAGGAATGGTCACCCTGGGAGACGCCTTGTCGCACGAAATTGCATCGCAGCATTTCGTATAGTAATTTTCTGCGTTGCGAATTCGCATCGCATCGCAGTTTTGTGTACGAGCCCTAAGATTATATTTCTAAAGAAGAATATTTCTGTCAAAAAGGTATGTATGTAACTTTAATCAAAGTTCTTTTTATAATGGCTTTATTTGGTTTATGTTTATCAAAAGGTTCTTAAGTTTATGATCTGATAATGGTTATTTAATGTCTCATTATCAAATCTCTTAAATATTTAGGTATGATCAATTTAATAGGCTGCCACGAAACGTATCGTGGGTTTGATTCCCACACGGAGCAACTCTTTGTGTGATCCACTTATTGTTTTTCCGGCTCTGGGTGTCATTGTGTATGTGAACTTGTATGTTTGTTAAGGCAACCATGACACAGGAGAAAATCTTAGTGTGGGGCAAAGATTTTTTATTTTTTAAAATACTAATAAGTTTTATGTGCAATGAACTTTAATGTATGAGCCATAACTCAACATTTTGTATGAAAAAATATAATCAAAAAATATTATATTACATATTACACATTTTCGTCAGTCGTTGTAAATCAGAACACCATATAAGACTATTTTCTATTTAAATAAAAATTAATTTAATCACAATCATTTTTCTAAATTAACAACTTCTTTATACTTAATTGAAAAACTTGCCAATGTCTTATTGGCTAAGCTAATCTAGCTTTTATGGTGTATAAGGAGATATGAGCATATCCTGTTATGCCTAGTATGACATCAGAAAAGCCAATACGGGTGAAATTGCCTTCACCCACTATGTTTACGAGCATCGTGCGTGGCCGTTGTTTTTTACGAAGAAAAAACTACTAAAAGGAGAGGTGAATAAATGTTTTCATTCATGTGGAGGAAGCTCGCAATACTGAGCACATCGTGAGTGTGTAAATTTGTGAAATTATATATTATTTTAATTAAATATGGACGTCACACGCAAAGTAAGTACCTAGTCGAAAGCATTTTTAATTTTGTAAGTCATGACGCTCAATGTGCAGACGCGATTATTTGTTACAGTCTAATTATGTTAGATTTGTGCTGATAAATAAAAAAAACAAAGTTGCAATGCACGTTAAAAAGTATTTACTTTTGGTAAAAATTTACTTCCCAAGTACGTCTTGCTATTGTCTAGAAATATTATGAAGTAGTTCAGTTTATAAATTACCTATTCATAATATTATGTATATTGCATGTACCTATATGCATAAAAGCTATATCAACCTGAAGTATGATGACTTAAACGGTTCATTATTTTTGTGTTAAGTTTATCATAGGTACTTGTATTTATGTCATCTATAGGATGGTACTTACTAATTTACCTACACGAATATTATTAAGGTTAGAAATAGAACATTTATTATCCGCTTGAATGGGCCGATATGAGACACAATAGAAAATACATTGTGTGCCGTGTATCCGCGTTTTGGACACACGAAATGTTAAAAAACAATACTTTGAATGAAAAAGCTTTGTTTTTGATCGATTTTATTTAACTAATAAATTTCCCTAGGATACTAAAATAATAATTTACCTTTGAAGCCTAGAATAACCTAGAGTGAAAATAATTTCACTACTTTGATCCAGACTCCAAAAGCAACTAATGACAGATGAGGTGAATAATAGGGTACTTTTCTTAATCAAAAATAAATGATATCGAGTGTTCAATAAAATAAAATATTAAAAAATACTTTCACTAATTGCTTTTATAACCAACTTAATGTTAGTATTTTTCCAGCAAATTTTTAAGAACTAAGTATGATGTTTGACGCTAAAAAAAAGTATTAAACTTGACTAAGTAGTTGGCAAGTACCTACCCAATTGCTGGTTAAGGGTTTTGAATCAGTTTCTAAAGGTAAATCCCGCAGTCCCTTGTCCGGTAATCTATGAAAAAAAAACTTTTGACAAAAAATTGTAATTAAAATCTTGCTGTACACCTCGTGCGTAGGTATCGTATAAACGACAGATAACTAATTGTTATCATTACTCAAACTGACTTTAATATAGATAAATTGACCATGATTTTGCTCTGAGTATGAAAATGTACGGCGTACACGCAAGTTTTGTTTTGATCATTATCATAACTAAAGGTTTATTGATAATTTGGTACTAAAGGTTTTATTAGACTAATACTTAAGTATATTCATTTGGAACATTGCTTTTACAGATACTCCTGGTGATCTCGATACTGGCTCCCGTATACACGGCTCCTAGAAATCCAAGACTGACTGTAGTAGAATATGAACCTGCCCATTATTACCACGAATATGACAGTAAGACTAATAATATTATGTATTATAATTCTTTAATAAATACTACCTCGTTGGCCGAGTGGTCGCAAATGCGACTGCCAGGCGAGGAGGCTCGGTTTCGATTTTGCGGGTCGGGCAAAGGATTACAGCATGTTTCAAAAATTCTCAGTAGTAGCACGTAGTCTGGAAATTATTCCGGTATATGGCAATATGCTCACCCTCTATTATATGGGACATATAACATAAATAGTAGGAAGTGGGTGTTACATTGTACAGTGGCATTAATTGCCGTAATGGGCACATCTGCCTACGCCTTTGGTGATAAAAGGCGTGATGTTATGTTATGCTGATAAATAAATACGAATTAATTAATTAATCTTTACTAGCACTTTTAATTCTTTAACTTAAATAAGGTTATAATGTAATATATGTACGTACCTATACACATACAGGCTATCGTAATGCTTCCGAAAACGCAGACGAAATGTAAAAAACGAAATATTTATCTTATGAATAGTACCTAGACATACATTTTTGAGGGTATTCGATTAATATTGTATAAAAAACAAAAATAAATATCTGCGCTTTGGAAACGTTCCGTTTACACCTGTATATAAGTATATACTGGATTTGATCCCATCTTAGAGACTAAATTCGGTCTCTGTCAAATGTATAGCCCCTTAGGCGGTTGCGACACCTTCCAGAAGAGTAGGAGACAAAATCTTCTCTGCTTACGTAGTCATATTAAAATTATGTTATATATTTTATAGGAAATCCACAAATATATTCATTTGGCTACGATGTAAATGATCCGGCGACTGGTAACACTCAGTACAGAGCTGAACAACGCCATCCAAACGGGACCGTCACAGGAAGCTACGGCTACATAGATCCTTATGGAAAACCTGTAAAATATAAGTACATTGCTGACAAATTTGGTTACAGGTAAGCTTTGATAATACCAGAGTAGAAATTGTCTCTTTTGACAATTCAAATTTAAATTGTTATTTATCTCAAGAATTACAATGTCTGTTTGACATTGAGGCAGCCCCAGTACGTTATTACCTATACAATACTTGTGTTGGACCTAACTCATCATTATTTCATACTTAAATAATTAATTTAAAAGTAGGTAAATTTACATCAATTGTACCTATTGCAGTAAAATAGCATCAAACTTATGCGCCTTAACTTGACTGAAACGAATTTACAGTAAAGAGAATTGCTATTACAATTTAGCAGGCACAAGCATACATGTAACTGTTACACAACAATGGTTTTCCTGTCTGAGTATAACTTGACATTGTTTATAATGAAATTATTTCCAAAAAAGGTTTCCAAAATAACTCAAAATACCTCCTCAGACTATAATTATGGATTAGTGTGTAAATTCATAAATTGTCCCATTACTGCGTGGCAAATACCTCTACATATTTGCCTTAAATATTTATTTTAATTTCAGGGTATATTCAGATTTAGAGTTGCCAACCCCAAAACCATTGCCCGTTGCACTGGCTGTTAGTGAACCTACAGAACCTTCCATCACATGGACCAGGCCTCCAAAACCTCACAAGAAGAACGTCTTCAATGATATCGTCGCACAACTTGGATCATTTTTTACCAATACTAAATTCAATTCAATTCGTGTAAATTAACATGACTGAAGTTTTTAAAACAGAATTGCATTTCATTATATAAACGCATAAGTATTTATACAAAGTTAAATTATTAAATTTTTAGAACATACTTGAGAATAAACTAATTAATGATAATTTTTGTTTTATTGTTTAACTATAATATAATATAAT